TTCTAATGGTCTGTCTCTTGTCTGTCTCAAAGTCATACTTATGGTATGTCTCAATGTCATTCTAATGATATGTCTCAATGTCATTCTCTTTGTTTGTATTACCCAACATCATCCTAAAGGTCTGTCTCGATGTCATTATAATGGTTTGTCTCCATGTCATTGTAATGGTCTGTCTTCATGTCATTCTAATATTCTGTCTTCATGTCATTCTAATGGTTTGTCTCACCTAATGTCATCCTAATGGTCTGTCTTCATGTCATTATAATGGTCTGTCTCGAAAATGTCATTCTAATGGTCTGTCTCTTATCTGTCTTAAAGTCATACTTACGGTCGGTCTCAATGTCATTCTAATGGTCTGTCTTAATGTCATTCTCTTTGTTTGTATTACCCAATATCATCCTAAAGGTTTGTCATTCTAATGGTTTGTCTCTCCCAATGTCATTCTAATGGTCTGTCTCAATGTCATTCTAATGGTTTGTCTCAATGTCATTCTCTTTGTTTGTATTACCCAATATCATCCTGAAGGTTTGTCATTCTAATGGCTTTTTTCTCCCAATGTCATTCTTATGGTTTGCCTTATCCAAAGTTATTTTTAGATAGCCTATACCAGAATCCTTTTTTCCATATGGCATAGAATTTATAACAATGGCAAAAACAATGTTCAATATTAAAAGTAAAATTACTTAGAATAAAACACTTACTCCAGAAAGACTTCTATCTCCCTGACATTTTCAATGGGTGATTCCAACTTCATGTCCAATTCTGTGACCTCTTTGAAGGACATTATCTTTTGACCTTGACCTTTGAGTTTCATCAGTTCTCTCTCTAGTGACAGCCATTTCGCGGGCAAAGCCCTCTTCCACTGTGACTGAAATGGAGCGGCCTTGATGATGTCCTCCCAGAGGTTATCTAGCCAGGGAAGGTCACGGTTGCTATTGTCTACAGCACAGTAGCCCTGGATGTGGTTCTTAATCTTCTGTAGCTCGGGTGGCTTGAGAAGCCACGTACACATTTCAATGAACTTTGATTTCTTAGTATCTGCATCCTGTCAAATCAAAAGTAAACTTGATGAGCATGTTTTTGAACAAGCCATACAAAATTATCAGGAATATCTAAAAGGAAAATCTTGAGCCTCCATTGCATTACCAAGAGTTATGAGACAGCTTTATCAATTTTCCCGTCCAGCTGATGAATATTGTTTGGCATGACGTGACCAAGAGCTTTGGCCCCACAACTTCCAGGTAATATATGATGCAACATTTTACAGAGCTACTTAGCGGGGTATGTGGTATTATCTAAAAAAACATTTAGGGTCTGACAGTTATTTTAGGTTATCTATTTTGAAATATAAAACCATGGATCCTATAAACCAGGTAAAAGTGGAATATTTTTTAAGACGGAAATCTTTTCAAAACAACCTATGTATGATTTCATTTAATCTGTCCATCAAAAATACACCTGTACACCTCCAGCACACATCCTTATGGACGGAGGTATTAGCAAGGTGCCTTAGGACCATTAGTAAAAACCTTATACAGCAGCTCTAGGGCACTATATTAAATTCCATATAATACCAATAATGGTAAATATTATGTACCATTCCTTCCACTTTGTCCATGTGTGTCCCGACTAGGATGATGGGAGGTAATTCAACCTGCTCTGAGGAACTGTTTTGCTTTGAAGACAAGGAACCAATGGAATGTAGCCAAAATCTGGCACGCTCTGAAAAAAACAAGAAATAGTAATGTAGAAAGTCAGTCTTTGTTTATCTGTATCAATTATCTTGCCACATATCTCTCAGTGAAAAAGACCTCTGGCAGCCTTTGTTTTATATTAATATACTTCATCTTTATAACAGTGTGTCTGATAAGATGATACGTGTCACATGACGGGGCACTTTCACGCTCTCAAGGGAAACATGATTCTTTGTTTCCCCAAGGTTAATTAAGTTTCACGAGGGACACATGACCTTTGTTTAACAAACAGGAAAGACTGAAATACTATAAAACTGGAAGTTTTGCCTTCATTTCATTTCCTTTAAATGTTTATGAGAGGGCAAATTCAACACAGGACAAAAAGGAAAGTTGCATACTTAGATAGCCTAGTAAATTCGATACTGGCGAACTGTTTAGACGGCCTGTGGGTGTAACGTTGATGAGACAAAAGCATTGCCGTTTACAGTACAATCAATGGGATAAGTTTCTCACCTTGCCAAAACATGTACATCCACCGTTTTGATCTATCTTGTAAACAGCTCTCTTTAGATAACTCTTGCCTAGCACACCTACAGCTGTTTCCTGGGAGTTAATTTCACCTGCAACTGTCTCCTAGCAGTTTAGTACAAATACAAATGTCTACTAGCTGTTTAGCACACTTACCAAACTCTGCGTTCTTCTTGGCCGCATCAGAAAGGCAGTCGTCGACATTGAAACAGACAATGTAGACAGCATCTTTACTGAGGAAGATGTGGTGAGAGTCGTAGAACACCTTCTGGCCTCCGAAGTCCCACACAGACAGGTAAGCCTTCTCTTCACCTTCCTCCCCTTCTGACTTCTGCATCACATCCATCATGTCATTCTTGAAGAAGTTTGTGATCTTGTGCTCTCGTGGTTTGCCTGTATTTTGCCAGGTATGATTGTGTGTGTAGCGATATTTATTGATGTACCCCTCATCACTGGAGTACGACCTATGGTCCTGTAGCTCTGCGTCATCAACGTCATGACGCTTCTTGTTCTCTGAGGTCATACTTGTAGCCTCTGATGACAGGGGTGAGCTATCTAGACTGCCTAAAAAATAAAAATGTTCCCAACCATAAAAACTTGAACTGTTATCAAGAGGGTAGATAACACCCTCTACCTGACCCCAATAAGATATAGGATACCATAATATTTGCTTCCCATAATGCCTTATTCTCCCTACTATAAACAGTTCTGACAAGGATATTTTGAGCATATTAATGCAGTACATCTTAGCAAGAATTTAACGAGTTGGCTATGGGAATTAACAGTCAACCGTATGACTTTCATTACAACCATCACCCAATTAGTTGAAATTGATGAAGATGACAAAAAGGCTTTCAAAATTTCCATCTTGGATTTCAAATTGACACTTCCTTCAATGGACTGCTTTCTCATGAGATTTTTTTGTAAATCACCCCCACCCCACCCCTCATTTTTCACTGCTTGATAAGACTTCAGTGCAGTCAGTATCCTCATTGACAAATATTTTCCTAAATACAGAAGTTTTACTATATAATAGACCACAACATCATGTTGACGGTGTGGACAATACAAGAGGCCCATAGGGCCTGTATCGCTCACCTGGATATC